AATCCGGCCTGCGGATGGTCCGGGAATCAGCGTGTTTTTACATGAGTAGAATGTCCTTTCATTTAAAATGAATCTCTGGGTTATTTGTGGGGCATATATATTTTTTTTTTCAAAATATAGTCTGGCGGATAAGGTCTGACGGACAGTGGACCAGTTCCCTGCTGAAAAAGTTTGCTGGCCCCTGATCTAGCCTCTTCTGGATTCTCTTGCTCAGTTCTCTATGCTAATCGGTCCCTAACCATAGGAAAACTTTTTGAAGACTCGTTGCCACCTGGTTGCTTGCCAGAGAAAGGAGGATTGGTTGTTTTTTAAAAAAATGTATTTTTTATTAAAGGTTTCTTGGTTTACAAAAGTATGTGCAATGTCTCTTTTTTCAAGTTACATTTTCTACAGATCAGTTTGATATGTTGAGACATTAGAGTTACATTAGGAAGAAAGGGGGGGAAGAGGTGGGGTGGCGATGTTTCTATTTCACTTAATGTATCTGTGGGGTTTTGTGTCAGCGTCGCTTGTGCAGGTTCTCTCTGCTCTTCGCTTGTGTTCCTTTGGTGGTGAGAGAGGTTGGGGTTGGCCTATGCCCAGTGTGGTTGTTTGTTGACACCTCTTTCCCTGGCCCAACCCTATTCTTTTAATTATAATTTGCTTTTAAACTGGTTTTAATGTCGATGTGACTCACCTTGGGATTTTAGAGTGAAGGTCAGGTTGTTGTTGTTGTTAATGCCCTGGTACCAGCAGATGTCAAGGCAATAAGCAACTATTTTACTTTTAAAAGACAACTGAAGGCGGCCCTGTTTAGGGAAGTTTTTAATGTTTCGTGCTGTATTATTTTTAATATTCAGTTGGAAGGCGCCCAGAGTGGCTGGAGAAACCCAGCCAGATGGGTGGGGTATAAATAAATTATTATTATTATTATTATTATTATTATTATTATTATTACACTAGCATATGACATCATTACTTCTGCTCTTAGGGAGAAGAAAGGGGAGCGGTGAAAGTCCAGTGGTACCCTCGCCCTCTTAGTCATGCTGGCCACATGACCTGGAAGCGGTACGTCAGCTCCCTCAGCCAGTAAAGCGAGATGAGCGTTACAACCCCAGAGTTGTCTGCGACTGGACCTAACGGTCAGGGGTAAAGGTAAAGGGACCCCTGACCACTAGGTCCAGTTGCGGTCAACTCTGGGGTTGCGGCACTCATCTCGCTTTATTGGCCGAGGGAGCCGGCGTACAGCTTCCGAGTCATGTGGCCAGCATGACTAAGCCGCTTCTGGCGAACCAGAGCAGTGCACAGAAACGCCGTTTACCTTCCCGCTGGAGCGGTACCTATTTATCTACTTGCACTTCGACATGCTTTCGAACTGCTAGGTTGCCAGGAGCTGGGACCGAGCAACGGGATCTAACCCCATTGCGGGGATTCAAACTGCCGACCTTCTGATCTGCAAGCCCTAGGCTCTGTGGTTTAGACCACAGCGCCACCCACATCCCTAACAGTCAGGGGGTACCTTTACCTTTTAAAACACAAAAAGCTCTTCTCATCTGCTAACTTTCCAATTTATGACCTGCCATTAAAGGCAGAGGAGCAGAGTGGGTAAAAAAAAGTTGGCAACCCCAAGCATAACCCACACGCACCTGCTACGCATAATGCAGAACTTTCCCCCCCTCTGCAAGCGCACGAAGAAGTTTCTTTCAGAGTTTCCTTGCTAAGAGAACTCTCAGCCCAAAAACTTTGGCTCTACAGCGGCTTATGGTTTGTAAATATAGAAGGAGGAAGACCAGCGCTGAAATCCCCTATAGGGAGAGTGCTGCATTAAGAAAAAGCCCTATCTGAGCTAAGTCATAATCAAACGGATCTGACTGCTTTTGGCTCCAGGCTCCTGCAGAGCTGCCTTTAATAGGCAGGTGAGGCTTTGGGGTTGTATTTGATGAGAGACGCAGACGGCTGCCTCTCCCTGCAGTTGATTAACCCTATATGGCTCTCGGAGACGGCGGGCCATAAATAGATGCTGTCCGCCTCTCCTTCCTTGGGTTGCGCAAAGGGGGCTGGAAGTGGAGCTAGGAACGCGCGCTGTGGGGTTTGTTAAAGAAAGCCAGGCAAGTGTGATCAGCAGTAGCTATTTCTATTTTGTGGTTGCGAAGAAAGTATCTCGTCGTCTCCTCCCGCACCTGGGGGGCTGTGCGCATTTTCATTCCGAGATGGGGAGAGGAGTGCCAGACTTATTAAACGAGAGGCGCTGACACACTCGAGCTTATTTCGGAGCAAGGCTTATTTCGGATGCGCAAGATTGGCAGGCAGACCTTCTGGGTGGTTTAAGGACTGGCTGGGCTTATTCGGTGGGGAGGAGGAGGAGGAGGAGGAGAACTTTAGGAGATGAGGCCGTTTTCCCAAGCAAGGTGGGGATCTTCGTTCACGCGCCAATAAGGGTTTGTTTGCTTTGAAAGGGGGACCTAAATCGCACTTTTTGAAACCGTAAAAGGATGGGAACGCCGCCTACCTCTTAGGCGTTTGCACTTACCTGAATTTTCCTATGCAACCCTCTCCCCAAGTAGTGTGAATGGAAATGCATTTGCCGGGGTAAAGTCTGCATAAAATTGCATATGTTTGTGAATGTAACGCACAAGAATGCATTTTATTAGGGGAAATTAGTTTGCAAAAAAAGGTGCATTTTAGAATTAGTACTAAAATGCTAATGTATTTTCATGAGGGTTTTTTTAGGGGGGCATGGAAGGGGGTGTTGCAAACTGATGTAGGCATAACTGAACTAAGGAACTGAAAAATGAGAAACCGAGAAAAGACAGTAGTTTTCCTGTTTCTTATTACAACCCATGTGGGCAGGGTGCTTTTCTCAAAAGCCTACCTAGGACAGAATTTCCAGGTGCATGAAACATACCTGTGGCTCATACCCAATCTTCTGCCAGGGAATGAAATGTTATTTACTTATATTTGCACTGTTGAATGGGTTTTCTGTTTCACAGTTGCTAAAGGCTCAGGAGACCCACCCTCCAGAAAAGTTGGCAACCCAAACTTTTGGCATGTAATTAAATTCCAAAAATTCCAAAAATCTTAAACTGCTTTTGTCATGGGGTGTGTGCCAACCAAAAATGGGAAGATGGATTTCCTTGGGCAGGAGGAAATGTGTACTTTTGAGAATTTAATGAGCAGGCTGCCACTGGCTCACACAATTCTTGCAGCAAGTTATTACTGCTAATACTACTAGTAGTAGTACGTAGTAGTAAAGAACAATCAGAAATGACTAAAAGTATAAAAAAGTTAAATGGCATATTATCTTTCTGAAAGGAAAAAAATACTGAATTGCACTTGACCTGTTAATGACTGGGGGCGGGGATCTAGTCTCCTATGAACAGCAGCTTTCCTGCACAAAGAGCATTTGAAGTTTTTTGCAGCAGTTTCAGTGTATAAACTAATAAGGAATTCAATTCTCTCTGTGTTGCTCCTGATCTGGCCACAATGGCGCCATCCGTTCACTAGGGGGAGCTCTCAGCAGGCTTGGGGAAAACCCCGAGTTTTGCAAGGACCAAAAAACTCAGTAAAATTCTTAAGTGGGTGAGGGAACAGCCCCGTGGGGACCAAGCTGGCTCAGTGGCCACAGAATAATGGCTGCCTGCCGGCAGGGAGGAAAGAAGGCCCTGGTGATGGGGAGGGAATGGAGTATCGTGGAACAGGGCACAGATTGCTGGCCGGCCACCTGAATGGGAGTGCCCTGCCTTGGAACGCTCTGTTGCACTTGCATTAAAATAATGTTGTCGCTAGAGCCATAGCTGCGCAAAGCTCCGTACCTGATTGGCAAAATGGGGTGGGCGAGGGGCATTTTGCAAAATCTGCTCTAGGAAGCGGCTAAGTTTTCTGACCTTTTGAAGGGTGAGGGGGAGAGCAGCCAAAATACCAGCCAAAATAGTGACCGTCATTGTCCTGATCTCCCCACTGGAGCCCAGAGAGCCAGTGTGGTGTAGTGGTTAAGACTCGTAGACTCGTGGTAGACTCGTAATCTGGGGAACCGGGTTCGCGTCTCCGTTCCTCCACATGCAGCTGCTGGGTGACCTTGGGCCAGTCACACTTCTCTGAAGTCTCTCAGCCCCACTCACCTCACAGAGTGTTTGTTGTGGGGGAGGAAGGGAAAGGAGAATGTTAGCCGCTTTGAGACTCCTTCGGGTAGTGATAAAGCGGGATATCAAATCCAAACTCTTCTTCAAACTCTTCTTTTTTTGCACACCTGTTGGTGAATGCAAGCAAATGGCTACTTGCACACTCTCTGCTCTGAGATGGTGCCCTTTGCTGCCGGCGCCACATTCCCTGCTGCCTTCCTTGCTAATTGAAAGAGAATCATTGGAAAGGCAGGAACTGAAGAGAGCAGCCACCGCCATTGCAGAACCTATGCGATGCAGCCTTGTTTGTTGAATTTGCCTGTTTGTGTCTAAAACCTGGGTTGTGCGTTGGGAAAGAGTTCTGATTTTCCACGTCAAATGGGACACGCAGCAGAGAAGACCATAGTTTCTTGCGGTTGCTTGCCTGAATTCTTCTCCCCCCGTTGCCAGGGCCGGCCCTAACATGAGACAGGGTGGGCAACTGCCTCAGGTGGCAGATACTGAGGAGCAAACTGAGCTTTCTGTGCCATTTGGCCTGCCCTGTGCCTGCCACATTTGCCTACTATCCTTGGGCCCAGTGAACAATGCTGTCCCATAGCCAGCGTGGAAGTGAGATTCAGCTACCAGCCTGCTTGGGTTTTGTATGTGGAATTGGTGGTGGAAGAGGAGGAGGCACCATTTTGTCCTTTGCCTCAGGCAGCATGGTGAATTGGATGGCCTTTCCAGCTCCATTCACAATGCAACCTGGGCTGAGTGCAAAAGGTGCCTGGCCTGGAGTGATGGATGCTGGAGAGGTCAGGTGTGGAATGGTTGGGTCTCCTTTACCTTGAACTCTCCATAGAATTGTAGAGTTGGAAGGGACTACGGTGGTCATCTACTCCTGCTGCAATGCAGGAATCTTTTTGCCCAACATGGGGCTTGAACCCACGACTCCAAAATTAAGAGTCGTGTGTTCTTACCGACTGAGCTATCCTCTGTCTATAGTAGGCTTCCTCAACCTCGGCCCTCCAGATGTTTTGAGACTACAATTCCCATCATCCCTGACCACTGGTCCTGCTAGCTGGGGATCATGGGAGTTGTAGGCCGAAAACATCTGGAGGGCCGAGGTTGAGGAAGCCTGGGAAACTAATGAACTGCTTTTGTTGGTTTGTTATTGTTTAGTCGTTTAGTCGTGTCCGCCTCTTCGTGACCCCCTGGACCAGAGCACGCCAGGCACTCCTGTCTTCCACTGCCTCCCGCAGTTTGGTCAGACTCATGTTTGTAGCTTCGAGAACACTGTCCAACCATCTTGTCCTCTGTCGTCCCCTTCTCCTTGTGCCCTCCATCTTTCCCAACATCAGGGTCTTTTCCAGGGAGTCTTCTCTTCTCATGAGGTGGCCAAAGTCTTGGAGTCTCAGCTTCAGGATCTGTCCTTCCAGTGAGCACTCAGGGCTGATTTCCTTCAGAATGGATAAGTTTGATCTTCTTGCAGTCTATGGGACTCTCAAGAGTCTCCTCCAGCACCATAACTCAAAAGCACCATTTCTTCGGCGATCAGCCTTCTTTATGGTCCAGCTCTCACTTCCATACATCACTACTGGGAAAACCATAGCTTTAACTATACGGACCTTTGTTGGCAAAGTGATGTCTCTGCTTTTTAAGATGCTGTCTAGGTTTATCATTGCTTTTCTCCCAAGAAGCAGGCATCTTTTAATTTCGTTACTGCTGTCACCATCTGCAGTGATCATGGAGCCCAAGAAAGTAAAATCTCTTTTGTTGGTTAGAAAAAAATCAACCTCCCATACAGATAGACTGACGCATTCTTCTTGCTTTGCTAATGAATAGCAATAATATCCAAATGCAACACAATGACCAAGTAACACAATGCAATGTCAATATAAACTCTTTATATAATCTATACAGAACACTGAACAATATGAAATATATGAAATATGCACTCTTCAAAACCAAATAAACAGAAATCTTCTAAATCTCTGAAAGTCACAAAATATGCACTCTTGATGGATTCTCTTGAAAACATAGAACCAGACAAACATAAGTCTTATAGGTCTCTGAAAGTCTTTGTGGGCTATGCAAGTCTCTGAAAGAAGCAGTGGTTCAGATTCTTATCAGGTGAAAACAAGCCTTAAAGCTTTGTTTTATGACGTCCAACGGCGCCGAAGTGGTCGCAAGCAGATGTATTGAACAGTGATTCCAGATATACCCACTGTTTTGTGGAATTCTTCTTCAGCACAGCAGAAGGATACAGAAATGCTTCACAAACCCATCTAGATGGTGAATGGAATTGTATAACAACAATTGCTACAGAGCAGTGGTCACGAAGTTAGGTAACCACTGCACATGAATAGAGCAGAAATGAAAACCACAAACATGGCCGCAGTGGAACATGTCTTGATGGCGCCTGGAGTGGGCAGGTGGGCACAGGGTGGAGGGATGCACCAGCCCAGCCCCCACCGTTGATGTGATGCCAGCCCTGATCTGCTTTATGCAGCTGGAATGATCCCAGCCTTGTAGAGCGGTTCGGGGAGACTGGCATGAGGAGGACACAACAGTTGTGCACCCTTTTTTCCCAGCTTCACCCTTGCTTTGTGAGGCAGGGGTCAAAGGGCACGTGGCTGTTGCATCCTCCTCGCGCCACCCTGACAGCTTGGAATGGAATTGTGGACACAGCAGGGCAAGCAATGTGGCCTTCTATCAGTCCTCCTGGTGGCCTGCCAGCCCAGTCTGCTTTCCACAGGGTGGGTAGTGGCACCCGCCCAGTGGAACGCCCTCCCTTCAGATGTGAAGGAAATAAGCAGCTAACTTCTCTTTAAAAGACATCTGAAGGCAGCCCTGTTCAGGGAAGTTTTTAATATTTAATGCTGTATTGTTTTTAACACTCGTTTGGGAGCCGCCCAGAGTGGCTGGGGAAACTCAGCCAGATGGGCAGGATATAAATAATAAATTATTATTATTATTATTATTATTATTATTATTATTATTATTATTATTATATTAAATTATTATTGCAAGGCTGGGATGTGGGATCTGACTCGCAAAATGGCACAGGGCTGGCAGGGGTGGCATGGAGAGCAAAATGCGCCCTTGAAAGAACTGTGCCCGGGGCAATGTGCCCCCTTATATAATTATTATTATTATTATTTATTATTTATACCCCGCCCATCTGACTGGGTCTCCCCAGCCACTCTGGGCGACTTCCAACCAAATATCAAAAACAATACAGTGTCAGACATTAAAAAGTTCCCTAAACAGGGCTGCCTTCAGGTGTCTTTTAAAAGTAAAATAGTTGTTTATTGCCTTGACATCTGCTGGGAGGGCATTCCACAGGGCAGGCGCCACCACCAAGAAGGCCCTCTGCCTGGTTCCCTGTAACCTCATTTCTCGCAGCAAGAGAACCTCCAGAAGGCCCTCAGAGCTGGACCTCAATGTCTGGGTTGGATGATGGGTGTGGAGATGCTCCTTCAGGTATACTGGGCCAAGGCCGTTTAGGGCTTTAAAGGTCAGCACCAACACTTGCCCCACCCATGCGATGCCTCTGAACATGGTCATCTTCTTTGACAAAAAGACAGAGGACATTAAAGCTTCCTAGTCCTCAAGACAGCTTACTAATCTTTGTTGAAATTAGTGACACCAAATGGGCCTGATTTTAGTGCACTCAGTTGTTCTGTTTAGGAACCTAAGCACATAAGTAGAGCAATGTTGGATCGGATATAACAACAGAAGAGCTTCCAAGATGCTTCTAGGAAGGCTACAACTTGGACATGAAGGCAAAAGCCCTCTCCTGTAGTTGCTCTCCTGCAACTCGTGTTTTGTGGCATGCTGGGCCTGGAGGTTCCATACCATCATTTTGGCGAAGAGCTGTTAACATGGACCTCTCCTCCATGAATGACCCATGTCATCTGTTCATAAGTGGTGACATCACAATGCGGTTACCGAGAGCAGCGAATGGGTGGGTCTGTTTCCTTCCCCTCAGCCCTTGCCGTAGGGGATTCCGGTGCATCTTATTAAGCAGGGGAGGGTGTTGTTCTTTTGATGACTTAATTTGATACAAGGCTGGTTAGAAATAAGGTTACACTCCATAAAGTGAAAATACAACAAAAACTATAAAATCACCAAACTTGGCACTCCGCATAAAATTCAATCACTGCTCTATATCAGATTATCTCAGGGCGGGTTACCATCCATAAAACAGCCATACGACCTAAACCCATAAAACCACAAAAATCAATACTACGCACAAAATCCAATCAATCTTCAAATCTTGCCTCCAGCTATGTGTTTGCTAGGTATAACCCGAAGAAGCCTGTGTTTGCTTTTGCCACCAGACCTCTCTTCCTCCAGGAGATATGGGGGTAATCTTGGCCTACATTCCAGGGTTATTGCAAGGATTATGGAGATAATGAAGGCAAATTGCTTTGAACATTTGAAAACCGTCTGTGCTGGTCATTGTGAGCGTGGGAGAAAAGGATGAGGGTGATTCTGGATTCATAGAATCTTGGAACTGTAGAGTTGGTCATCTGGTCCAACTCCTTGCAATGCAGGAATCTCAGCTAAAGCATCCATGACAGATGGCCATCCAACCTCTGTTTATAAACCTCCAAGGAAGGAGAGTCCACAACCTCCTGAGGGAGACTTTTCCACTGTCAAACAGCTCTTACTGTCAGAAGGTTCTTCCTGGTGTTTAGTTGGAATCTCCTTTCTTGTAACTTGAAGCCATTGGTTTGAGTCCTACCCTCCAGAGTAGGAGAAAACCAATGTGTTCCCTCTTCCATGTGACAGCCATTGAGATAATTGAAAATGGCTATCATATCTCCTCCCAGTCGCCTCTTAACCAGGTCAACAAACCCAGCTCCTTCAACCATTCCTCATAAGGCTTGACTCCCAGACCCTTGATCATCTTGGTTGCCCCCCTTTGCACATGTTCCAGCTTGTCAATATCTTTCTTAAATTGTGGTACCCAGAACTGAACACAGTATTCCAGGTGTGGTCTGACCAAAGGAGAATAAAGCAGTACAGTGTTAATTCTGGTTAGGTACTTAATTCGTTCCGGAGGTCCATTCTTAACCTGAAACTGTTCTTAACCTGAAGCACCACTTTAGCTAATGGGGCCTCCTGCTGCCGCTGTGCGATTTCTGTTCTCCTCCTGAAGCAAAGTTCTTACCCCGAGGTACTATTTCTGGGTTAGCGGAGTCTGTAACCTGAAGCGTATGTAACCTGAAGCGTATGTAACCTGAGGTACCACTGTACTATTACTTCCCTAGGGATGCGGGTGGTGCTGTGGGTTAAACCACAGAGCCTAGGACTTGCCGATCAGAAGGTCTGCGGTTTAAATCCCCGTGATGGGGTGAGCTCCCATTGCGCGGTCCCTGCTCCTGCCAACCTTGCAGTTCGAAAGCACCTCAAAGTGCAAGTAGATAAATAGGTGGGAAAGTAAACAGCGTTTTTGTGCGCTGCTCTGGTTCGTCAGAAGTGGCTTAGTCATGCTGGCCTCATGACCCGGAAGCTGTTTGCCGGCTCCCTCGGCCAGTAAAGCGAGATGAACGCCGCAACCCCAGAGTCGGCCATGACTGCACCTAATGGTCAGGGGTCCCTTTACCTTTACCTATTACTTCCCTTGATCAGGACACTATACTTCTGTTGGTGCAGCCTAGAATAGCATTAGCTTTTTTTGCTGCTGTTTCACACTGTTGACTCACTTTAAGCTTGCGGTTTACTAAGATCCCTAGATGCAGGTGTCCCCCATCTTAAATTTGTACAGCTGATTCCGCCTGCCTAACTGTAGAACTTACATTGGTCTTTACTGAAATTCATGTTCTTAGATTGGGCACAATTCTCCAATCTGTTCAGGTCATCTTGAATTCTGATTCTCTCTTCTGAGGCAGTAGCTGCCCCTCCCTGTTTGGTGTTATCTGCTAATTGGATGAGCATCCCTTCAGTTCCTTCATGCAAATTGTTTATAAAGAGTTTCAACAA